CTTAAATCCTTTCAAAATAATATTCTTTTACCTGTCATCTTGTGGTCTTGTTAGTCTTTCAAATTCCTTGCCCAGTAATTCTTAACAAAAATGTCAAAAATGTCGATCGCCTACCAATACAAGTTGCCATATTTTAGTTTTTGGCTTTACTTGTCCTTAAATTATCTCTTCTAATTGGTCATGTTTGTTCTATTTCCAGCCTGTAGTGTTGGGGCAGTGGGTTACTTGTCAGGCCTCTCCTGAGTTTTTTCAGTCCTCATTGGTTCCCTCCATAAGCAGGATCTCCCTAATCAAACCATGACAGTTTATGAATTGGTTTTGCTTTAATCACAACTGCTTAGCATCTGGATGTGTTTCCATTCCATTTTACTTAGTTTCTTGGTTCTGTACTGGATTATTAGGACGTCAGGCAAAACAGTTTTCCTAATTTCTTGGTATTTGGTGGCTCTCCCCTGAGTGTGGTGTTTATGTGGTGTTATCTAGTGAGGATGTCGTTCTCCATACAACTCACCTAGCTGCAGAAGGAAGTGGAGCCTGCCAGAGTCAGGGTCAGAAGAATATCCAGCTCTCCTTTTTGTCTCATCCTTCCTTTATCTCATTCCCAATTCTATTCTCCCTCACTCGACTGGGCTTGTCTGTTAACCTCCTCTTTGTTGCTCACTTGAACCATACCTCCTTTCAGCTCATTTTCCCCTCCTCCGTTATTGAGTATTGCCCTCTTTTAAGGTACCCTTTTCCCCAAACAGCAGGTTAATTACTATAATATGAAGTGTGTGTGGGGGTGGGGTGGGGTGGGGGTGTGGGGTGGAAGGATGGAGACAAAGTATAAAGCAAACCAAAGTGAGGGAGAAGTTAGTAACAGAGGCTATTCTTTCTCAATTTCTGAACCTCAGTTTTCTATTTGTACAACAGAGATAACACTATCTACACAATGAGGTATTTGTTAGAATTAAGCAGGTTGTATAAAGTTCTTATCATGTAGATGCTCATTAAGTGGCCAGTTACCTTCTCCTTTTCTTTATTTACAGGTATAGCTTATGAGGAAATACGGTTTACTGATAAATGTTAGCAAAGTGGTTTCACATTTTGTTTGGCAAAGTATTTATTGCCATAGAAATGTTATCTAATACTCTTAACAAATACTGTATGGATGAGATATATTCTAGCTGATTGTAGCAGAATGAAGAAGAATCAGAACTTAACCAATGCTGTACATTTGCAGAGTGCTATTATTTAAAATGGATTTTAAAAACAGATTCCATAAGTATGAAATTGGATGAAATCACTTCTGGTAATCCATGTTAACATGAATACTGAAACTGTTCTTGTGATGGGATAGTTCATGTAACAGTCTCTGAGTTTCAAGTGACTCTACATGGTACTTTAAGGAAAGACTACCTTATTAGATGATGAATCTTAAATTAATGTAGCTCTTTGTCAGGGTCCTCCAGAGATAACCCTATGGCTCTGTCAAGTTGACACATTAAAATTGTAACCATCACATCTTCTCTCAATAAACTTTTTCCCTTCTACATTTTTCTACAGATGGATACACCATCAGGAATGGAATTGCCTTCATGGTATCCTGTTATAAAGCAGGAAAGTGACCATGTATCTCAGACACATTCATTTTTACACCCCAGGTGAGTGGATATTAACTTGTTCGGTCATTCATTCAACCGGCATCTATGTGTCAGATACTATACTAAGCCCTGGAACTTTATTATTTAGCTGTAGGCTTTCTTGTTAATCAGTGAAATGAATTGTAAATTGTGTTGAATGTTTAAGATAACCTTTTCTGCGTTTCTGTGTTTTTTTTCTAGAAATCAGTCACTATCTCTTTTTTGCCCTGAAGTAAAAATTGAAAATGTTCTTTTTAATTTATTTATTCCCTTCAAGAGGTAAACCAACTCTTCAAGAGTTTGGTGTGCAACTTTGCTATTTTAAAAAGAGGTATTTTTGAAACTTAGAAGCTTTCATAGTAGCCACACCCCTCAAGGTCAAGTTTTCATATTTTCAATAAAAATGCACCTTAGATTATAAACTTCTTATTAGTCCTAAATTTTTATCTGTTACCGTAAATTTATATTCCCCCCACGCATGTTGATGAAGAATCTCAGTCTTACTTAACATTTGCACAGTTCCTACATTCCTGTTGCATTTGAAGTAAGTGTTTGGGCAATATTAAACCTGTCTGTTTTCTTAGAATACTGAGTTTTCATCTTCAGCATTCATGAGATTTGTAAAGAGGAACAAAACAGATGTGTCCTGTACAGAGAAAATGAGATGTAAGAAGAGATTATTTAGGATTTAGGGGATAAAGTTTTATATCAGCTAAATGGTTGCATCTTTTGACTAAAGGTTATTCAGATTACAGTTACTATATGGTAGTTGAATATCTAGCTCAAATCTATTCCATGAGTCTCTGAGATAACCTACTGAACAATTTTCTGTGAACTTTGAGCAAAATTGGTAGCTATCCCTTTGATCTTAGTTTTGCACAATTAATTGCTCTTTTATGAACTACGTAGAAAGTACTGAAGTATTTTAGGAAGCTTGCTCTGTCGAGTCCGATACAAGGAGGACTGTGCAGTAGCTGGGAGCATTCAGAGTCCCTGTTCTCTCCCTGAGCTAAGTGAGAAGGAAGGGCCCTGGGCACTCCTCCCTGGGCCTGTGGTGAACCAGGCTGTAGCTATCCAGTGTGGAACAGAATCAGCCTCACCACGCCACAGCAAGGATGCCTTGCTTTGGAGGGGTGGTAGGCAAGAAGAGTCCTCCAAAGTAGCGTATCCTTTCTTCTCCTTTTGGCATACACCTTACCTACTTAGAGCTGTTAAACAGCTCTATACAGTGCTTCATGCTTTTAGTTCTCAGGTGGTTTTAAAGGAAGGAGGAGGGACTATGATTTTCTCAGTATCTTTTTAATGCTTAGAAATTACTTTTTGCAAAATAACAAAAATCCCTCATAATTTTGCTCTAACTGCCTAAAGTACTGACTTTTTCAATAATTTTTTCTGTGACCCTTATTTTCTGAGTTGTTATATTGTCTGTTTTGATAAAAAATTATTTAACCATAGGAATAGATGGAACACATTTTACTTTTTATCTAAATGTAATATGTGTCTTATTATGCCTTTCTTTGTTTTCAGCTACTACTTATACATGTGTGATAAAGTGGTTGCCCCAAATGTGTCACTTACTTCTGCTGTAGCCCAGTCTAAAGAGGTCACAAAGACAGAGACAAGTAGATTTGTCCCAAGACAGTCAGAGAAGCTTCACAGTAGTGGGAAACGTCAGAAAACAGCATCTTATCCAGATGTATCACTGGAGGAACAGGAGAAGATGGATTTAAAAACAAGTAGAGAATTATGTAGCCGTTTAGGTAAGTATTCAGAAATTATCTTTTTAAAACAAAATATCTCATAAACACAGTTGTCCAGTATTTTCAAAGAGGATTTCTATTTAAGAGAACTTTTCAGATAATTGATGCTTTTGTCCTAAAAAATGCCATCTTTCAAAACCTGAGTGACTGTAAGAACCTCAATTGCTGTACTTTCCTAGAATGGCTACAAAGGCTAATGAGATGGATGTACAGGCGACATGGCTTCATATTGCCAGTGATTTTTGCCTGATTATTTTTTCCCCTTCCTGCCTTTTCTTTCCTGTCACATTTCTTCAGAAGCTCCTTATTATTCTTTCTAATTTGCTGTGAACTGAGAAACCATTTAACTAATAATGCTAAGAACCATTTAATTATGTAAGAGTGGTTAGGTATAGGACTCAGGGAAACTTAGTCATGGAATAAGGAACGATTGAAAACTCATAGCTGTGGGAGCCAGGCAGATGGCAAAAATGCAGAATTCTGACTGGACATCTAAAAAAAAAAGCTGCCTAGTTACGTTGCCTTTTATAATACTGTGGATCAAACAAGATCCATTCCCTTAAATGCTGCCTATCTTACCCTTCGTGGAGCCGCAGAGCTCTGCTTACAGCTTAGGCAAGTGTGACAGCTATTTCAGCTTTCTGGGAGCATTTGAAGAGTCTTCTAGTGATTGAACTGTTTTTATAAATCATTGAGATTCTTGAGTGATTTTCTGTACTTTAATTTTGAGAATTTTAAAACTCAGTTTTCTTTGGATTTAAATACGGTAAATAGTTACTAATGTACTATTATGCCTTATTTGCATTATATTTTATTTCCCAATTCTAGTGACTTTAAAAAAATTGTTATAATTCATTTACCTTAAAATGTACACTTTTAACATGTACAATTCAGTGGTTTTTTAGTAAATTCACAAAGTTGTGCAATGATCACAAACAACTATTTCATTTCAGAACATTTTCATCACCCCAAAAAACCCTGTGATCCATTAGAAGTTACTCTCTGTTCTCCCCTTTTCCCAGCCTCTTTTAACCACTAATCTATTTTCTGTCTTTATGGATGTGCCTTTCCTGGGCATTTCGTATAAAAGGGATCATTCAATATGTGGCCTTTTGTCTGACTTCTTTCATTAAGCATATTTTCTCAGTTCATGTTGTAGCATATATTCGTACTTCTTTCTTTTCTGTGGCTTAATATTTTGTTGTGTGGATGGATATACACCACGTTTTGTTCATTCATCAATTGATAGACATTTGGATTGTGTCCTCTTTTTGGCTGTTATGAACACTTTTACAAAAGTTTTAATGTGGACATATATTTTCATTTCTCTTGGTTATATATATTTAGGAGCGGAATTGTTGGTTCATGTGGTAACTCTGTGTTTAACATAGACTGCCAAACTGTTTTTCAAAGCAGCTGCACCATTTTTGTTCCCACCAGCAGCTTATGAGGGTTCCAATTTCTGCATCTTTGCCAATACTTGTTATTGCCTCTCTTGATTATATCCATCCTAGTGGTTGTGAAGTGGTGTTTCACGGTTTTGATTTGCAGTTCTCCAATGACTAATGATATTGAGTATCTTTTCATATTTTTATTGGACATTGCAAGTCTTCTGTGGAGAAATGTCTGTTTAGATCCTTTGCCCATTTTTAACTTGGGTTATTTGTCTCTTTTACTATTGAGTTGTAAGAGTTCTTTATATATTCTGGATATCAGAGCCTTCCCTTATCAGATATATCATTTGTCATTTTGCCAGTTTTCTTTTCACTTTTCTCTTAGTGTCCTTTGAAGCACAAAAGTTAAAAAATTTTTTTTTTTTAAGATTTTATTGGGGAATTGGGGGAGGGGAACTGCGTTGGGGAATTGGGGGAGGGGAACAGGCAAGTTGCTGTCATTTTGTTCTTCAGTCTAGTTGTGGAGGATGTCGCTTAACTGGCCCATGTTGGTATTATCATTGTGCTCTTCCTGGGTGAGGCAGTCACTCGCCGGCCACTGGATGGCTGTTCGCGGTGGCTCTTGGCAGCTCACACTGGCTCCCGGCCGCTCACGCTAGCTGGCAGCGACTCGAGGTAGCGCACGGCAGCCCAGCTCCAGGTTGAACTGTTGTTCATCATCTTAGCTGTAGAGGGCGCAGCATCACTGGCCCTCATGTGGGATCCGAACTGGGGCCCCGTTGCTCAGAGCTGGGGTCCCAAGCCAACTCTTAACCAACGTGACACTCAGCCGGCCCAAAAGTTTTAAATTTTGATGAAGTCCAATTTATTTTTTTCTCTGGTTGCTCACTTTACATGTTACATCTAACTAAGAAGCCAAGATCACAAAGATTTTACTTTAAGAGTTTTCTCTCTTACATTTACGTCTTTTATGTATTTTGAGATTTTTATATATGGTTTGAGGTTCAACACCATTCTTTGTATGTGGATATACCAGTTGTCTCAATTCTGTTGAAAAGACTATTGTATTCTCTCCTGGCTGAATTTTCTTGGTGTCTTTGTCAAAAATCCATTGCCCATAAAAGTATGGGTTTAATTCTGGACTTAGCCCTTAAATGCCAGGACTACACACAGTCTTGATTTCTATAGCTTTGTAATAAGCTTTGAAATTGGGATTGTGAGTCCCTAATTCTGTTACTCCTTTTTAAGATTGTTTAGCTATTTTGGATTCCTTGCATTTCCATGTGAATTTTAGGATCAGCTTGTGAATTTCTGCCACAAAGCCAGCTGGGATTTTGATAGGTATTGTATTGAAAAAAGTAGATCAGTTTGGTGAGTGTCACCAGCTATCTTAGTCCATTTGGGCTGTTGTGACAAAACTACCGTAGACTGGGTGGCTTATACCACAAACAGTTATTTTTCACAGTTCCGGAGGCTGGGAAATCTAAAGGTCAAGGCATCAGCCGGTTTGGTGCTTGGCAAGGGCCTGCTTCCTGGTTCACAGACAGCCATCTTCTCACTGGGTCCTCACATGGCGGAAAGGACAGGAGAGCTCCCTGGAGCATTACACCTTCTAATCCATGAACATCAGATGATGCCTTTCCATTTATTTAGGACTTTAATTTCTTTCAATGATATTTTGTAGTTTTCAATGTTCAAGTGTTATACTACTTTCGTTAAATTTATTCCTAGTACTTTATTCTTTTTAATTTCATTTATAAATAGACTTATTTTCTTAATTTCATTTGTGGATTGTTCAGGTGACTTTTTAACAGTGATATTCATACTTTGTTATTTCATTTTTGCCTCTCACAGATCCATCAATCTCAAATAATTCTATAAGTAAAAAGAAACCCGAGTCTACCACTTGCAATTTAGTCAGAGACACAAACAAGGTGGGAATTGACCATGATGCTGCAGCTTCATCTTCACTTCTTGTCAAAGATGTAGTTTGTGAGGATGATAAGGGAAAAATCATGGAAGAAGTAATGAGAACTTATGTCAAACAACAGGAGAAATTGAACTCAATTTTGCAGAAGAAGCAACAACTTCAGATGGTAAAATTATTATCTAAATAATAGCCCATTATGAAAAGATACTTTTGAAATTCTTAAGAAAAGTTAAAACGAAATGCTGCAAATGTATTTAAAATTTCAGCTTTACACTCATAAGCAATTTTAATATACTTCAAAATTTTTAGAGAAACTAATTTTTCAAGATAATTTCTATATAGAACTGATATGATAGCTGACATATCTTTTATGTCCTACTATTTTTTCTTGAATTGAAATTTTTATGATGGAAATAAAGTAAAAATTGTATTGCAATTCTTTATATTACAGGAAGTTGAAATGTTGAGTAGTTCAAAAGCTATGAAGGAACTCACTGAAGAACAACAGAATTTACAGAAAGAGCTCGAATCTTTGCAGAATGAACATGCTCAAAGAATGGAAGAATTTTATGTTGAACAGAAAGACTTAGAGAAAAAATTAGAGCAGGTAATGAAGCAAAAATGTACCTGTGACTCAAATTTAGAAAAAGACAAAGAGGCTGAATATGCGGCGCAGGTAAGAATTACTCAGTTTATATATATAGTGTTGCCCTTTCAATGTGAAAATTGCAGCTGTTACTTTCTCTTATTAAAGAAATTATTTTTTTGTCAAGCTCATTTTATCAGGTTAGATTTCAAAATAGATAATCCTGTTAAACAACTTTATGCTATATCAGCCAAGATGATTTTTTGACCTTGATTGCTTTATTACTTTAAACTTTTAGTGATTTCTGTAGCTTAGTTGTGCAAATTGCTAATCTCTCGCTATTTGAATATCAAGTGTTATATTATTTTAACGTGTAGTATGTTGGCTTTCAAACCAACAAATTAACAAACGTGAACTGTTGTCCACTATGTTCAGAAACAGTGGAGCAGAAGTGAATAGTAAGTAGCTCACAACTTGGGGAAGGTGAACAGATAACACTTCGCATGAACAGGCTTTGATGATGAGAGCTAAAGCACAGGGCATGACGAAAGTCATGAACCACGTGTTCAGTTCTCTTAATGTTTTGTTTTTTCCTCAATTCAATGTCATGTCAAAAACAGGTTAATAGTGTTAGATATTCAAGAGATTGTAGTATGCATGAAATAGTTCATTTTGTAAAGATTAATTTGAAGGTAGATCTTTGCCAGTTGATGATTAAATGGAAACACGAAACTGACACAGTCTTTTAATCACACAGTTGGCAGAACTCAGACAGAGATTGGACCATGCTGAGGCCGATAGGCAAGAACTCCAAGATGAACTCAGACAAGAACGAGAGGCAAGACAGAAGTTAGAGATGATGATCAAAGAGCTAAAGCTGCAAATTTTGAAATCAAAGACTGCTAAAGAATAGAAACCTTTAAAGAGATTCATCTGTGTATTCCCAACAGAGTTTATTTTTGTTTGTTTGCTTTGCTAATTGAATTCTGAACAGCTTACCTGCATGAAGATAACTAGGCGTTCTATCCATTTGTAGATCAGAGAAAGTGAAGAGATTATATATTAGTACATAAATTCCTAGATTTTCCAAATGAATGAAAATGTATGTTTCTTTGTACTTTTGTTTCAACCAGCTTAGTAACAGTACTCTATGGTTTGAACTATTAGATAATCTGCTTATATTTCTAATGCAAATTTAACAGTTGTATACTTTTTAAAAGCTGCTTTGTGTAATGGAAGAAGTTGTGGTCAATTTTGTTATCTATATTTCAGACTCGATTTTAGGAACAGTGATGGCATCATATTTCAGATAATATAGAGCTCAAGGGGTTGAATCTCCATTTTTTAATTAGCACAATCTCCTTTCTAAGTTGATATACTATACTTCTTATATACAAAATTTGCTTTTATTTTGTTCATATTCTGGAATGGATTTCCATCAGTTCTCTTCTTTTTAATGTCTCCTAAAAGACATTTTGTTAGAAAAGGAATTTCATTGATAAGGTTGTAGCACCCCGTGGGCATAATGGGGAAGAATGATATGCTTTGTTATAATTTTGCTGCTAAACACAAGAAGCAGTTGTAATTTGTTTTTTGGTTGAAATGTGGTTATATTTAGATTTTTTTTTTTAATGCAGCAACTTCAGGAGAGGGAATAAAATGTAAAAATTTCTGAACTTTTGTTTATGTTGTTAATAGTGGTGTAAAATGTTAATGTTCTTGAGAAAAACGGATACCATTAATGTACATCAGTTTCTATACAATACATAATCTTCCTGTACAGTTTTTATATGTAGTTATGGGTCTTACTGAAATTTATATAATGGATTTGTTTTCCTTTAAATTGTAAAATATTAAATGTCTTGAAGGTTATTTTGGACTTTTGTATGTTTAAATGTTAAGTCTTATCAAGATTAGCACGAATGGACCATTTTAATTACTACTTAATATCAAAATCAGGAATTTACAGTCAACTGATTAGTGTGTGATAAGTTAATAGGAAAGTTTAGTTACCTGCTACTAAAAGATTTTTAGATAATTTTTAGATGATAGGAATTCCTTAGTTTGGGAGAGGGGCAAGATGTTCTGCACTTTTTTTTTCTTTTGCACAGAAAAGTCTGTCATTCTTTAATGGCAAATTTCATATTAGTTATTTCGTGGCTTAAAAGATACTAGGTAAATTTCTTAATATGAATTTTTTAAAGGCTGTTTCCTGAGCTACTATTAATACATTCTTATCCCATGAATTTAATGTTTCTCATGTTCTCACATAAGGTACTGAATGAAATTACTTAAGAGCTAAATTTATTTTTAAAATATATCAGCTAGGGTTAAGGTTATATACTATCCCCAGCATAGAAGATAGCTACTCTTAATGATATAGAACTTCAAAAATTGGTAGATTATCATTTAACCAGTTATTTTTATATTTTGCTTAATGGTACTAATGTATCCTAAGTGAATTTTTGTACTTCCCAAAGTATAGCTTCTTCACTAGAGTGTGATCTAAATGTGTATTTTTTATTTTCCATTTAGATTTTACTGTATTAATCCTGCAATTAAATTTGTTTATGTTTGACATCTTCTCAAGGAGGAACAAATCCTAAAATGACATACCCGCTTAATATCTTTTATTTAGGTCTGCAGGAAAAAACCACAGCTATTTTATGATATAGTTTCATTTTAGTTGTAAATTAGTTGTGTCACAGCTAAACTTTTTGGGAGACAAACTCAAGCCCTTATAATTTCATTTATTTTTCTAATTCATTAAAAATCTTTCTGTTTATGTTACGTAGTAAATGATAAGCTTACTTAAGTTTCCACCCAAAACTTCTAAAATAAACTTCTTAACCTTTGAAATATGTTACTTTAAAATTCTAAGCAGTGCTTAAACACCTTTAAATTATCATAAATTCTTAATTTAGAATTGAGTGAAGAAATATTTTTTTCTAGTTCCTCACATAATGAAAACTTGTCACATGAAATTGTATAGTCTTCATTTTCCAGAAGATAAATTAATGTGTCATAGGTTTCTGTCTAACTTCCTTGAAAATAGTTTTTTAGTCAATTGTAAATATTATACCTATTCTAGTTAAAAGTAATTTTAAGTTAAATTGCACCACATAGCTTGAAAATAAGAGATTTTGTAATACTTTGAAAATGGCCTCTGCTAAAATATCTTAACCACATAAACTTATTCTTCTATTCTTTGCATGCTCATCTTGTGTGTTGATTACTAGCTTAAAGTTTGTTTCAGTGTTGTTTTTGCGTGCCAGTTCCTTAGGCAAGCAGATTTTTCCTCAGATTTTGTAATATTTTTAGGAAAAATATAAAAATATTTACTTTAAAAAGCTGTATTAGAGGAACGGCTTATCAAAAGTGTTAGAGCATCTTTGGAAGGAAGAACAGATAGAATATTAGATTCCTGGGTGATGGATGATTTTTAATTAGAGTGATGATAGTTTCTGCATTCTAAACTTTATGAGAAAAAGGTACCAAATCTGTAAAGGGTAGTAAATGGGAAATCTGCTGTTATTGAGGAAGCTCAAAACCACCCTAATTTCACAAATGTAACTTGCAACACTATGAAAGGATTTGACTAACAACGTAAGTTTGGCTTGCGCCTTAGTTTTGTAAAGCATATTCTTTTGCTTGAATTTCTGTGTCCATGAGAATTATGCTTCTTGAACTAATTTTATAGCGTATTTAATATATTACCAGTTGAGCTAGAAAATCATTTGTACATATTGAATTAAAAATCAGTTACTAAAGTAGTTGAAATTAGACCGAGTACAATGATATTTGCAGGTTACCCATATATTTTAGAAGTTAGAACAACTAATTCATTTGCACATCTGTGGCTTCTGTTTGAAGGAAAGTAAAATGATGAGGAAACTTGAGTAATTTGAAACATGCTCAAGGTATTTCCCTAAAATTAGTTGTAAAGCTGGTGCTAAAGGTTTTTGATCAGCTTCTAAAATTTTCTTCTCAATGAAAGACTTAACGTTTTGATTGCTTAGGGCAGAATCCTTATTTGTTTTATGCATTTAATCCACACAACAGGACGTTAAAAATTAATATAATGAAAAGTTGTGCTCATACTGTATGTACACCTATTTCTGTGCTTGGAACTACTTGTTAATAGTTTTTATTGAAGCTGTCAGCAATAAGGAATACATGACTGCTGTATTATACATTGTGGGACTGAATAACTTAAAACAGCTTAATTTTTTTCTAGTATAGAATACTGAAACATTTCCATTATTGGAAACATTCGTCTAGGTATTCTATATTGCATCTTGTTTAAAAGGACAGTCTTTTTTTTTTCTTTTTTCTGTTTAAAAGGCTTTAAACTACATAATGCAATTTGAGGCCTGTTGTTTTAGTAATAGAATTAAATGTCTATATATAGTGCTACTGTTTTTTAATTAGAAAGTGATCACATGTAAAAACTGAAATTTAAAACTTAAGCCCAGAAAACAAAATAGTGTATTAAATTAGTTGAATGTAAAAGAAATTTATAAGATTTTTTTCTTCAATATAGATACCTCATTTGAAGATAAAGCACAGCATACTTAAAGTAGTTCTAGTAAAAAAGCCCAACTAAAAGAATTGCTAAATCTAGGACACTTTTTGGGGAACTATAGTTTGGGAGAAATAAAATATACTTGTTTTCAACCATTATGTTAGAGGTATTTGTTTATCCTAATAATTTTAAGCCAACACAGTAGTCTTAAATTATTTCTGAATTTTTAATCTGTGAAGGCAGTAAATGAAATACCTGTTCTGTAACTGTTGAAACAAATCGTTGACTACCTTGACCATAATTCAATTTAACATTTTGCCAATGATGTACAGTTTTATGGTTAAAATTGCTGTGGTTGGTTGCATTACATGATACACAAAACTGTCCTCTACCTCACGTGAAATAAATATTTTATATGGTTTTACTATAAAACAAGACTCATCTATCTGGTTACTTAGTTTACAAATTTTGAATTATATTTATTGAAACATGACATACTGTGCTCTTAGCTTATACCTCAATTGTATTTTGTGCTGTTTTCCATTTTCATGCCTTGTAAATAACTTGTATAGATTGTGGATTAAATTCCAAATAAAAACTTTTAATGCCAATAAAATTGATTCAAGCCATCTTAGTATATCCTGTGTGAGCCCAACTTGTCCCTTGATACTGACATTTTCTTCTGTTATTTTGAAGTCTATTATTCATTACTAAGTGATTGAGTTGAGGAACCTTTTTTCTTTAAAATGTGAAATTTTATGCAATATTTCAGGTGACGAACATACTGGCATTTGGTGATTATGCTCTTTCATGATACTTGGACTCTTGCTTTAACAAGAGTTATCCCGTACCCCCAACTCGGGTATTAGCTATTACTGAATAACATTATTTCAAAATTTAGCAGCTTAAAACAAATATCACATATTATCTAAAAGGGCAGGAATCCAGGAGCAGGTTAGCTGAGTGTGATGGCTCAGGAGCTCTTAGAAGGGTGCAGTTATGTTATCTGGGGCTGAAGCCATCAGACAGCTTAACAGCTGGAGAATCAGTTTCCAAGCTCACACGTGGCTATCGACAGCTACTCAGTTCCTCACTGTATGGACCTGTCCTTGGATCTCACAACAAGGTGGATGGCTTCCCTCAAATGAGTGGTCCAAAAGACAAAAAGTGCCACAATCTTTGATGAGAGACTAAGTCACTGTTACTTTTGTCTTATCCTATTTGTTAGAAGTGTGTCACTAAGTCCTGCCTATACTCAATTTGAGGGGATTACGCAAGGGTATGAATACCAGGAGGCAGGGATCATTGGGGGTCATCTTAGAGTCTGGTTACCATACCCTCCAATTTTTTTTTTCCTGTGACAAAACATACCATAAAAAGTGTATAATTCAGTGGCAGTAAGTACATTCACAATGATGTGTAACACCACATTTTCTAGAACTTTTTCATTATCCAAAACAAACTACCTATTAACTCCCTGTTCACTGCCCCTGCCAGCTTTTGATATCCTCTATTTTCTGTCTCTGACTTTGTCTATTCTAGGAACTTAATATAAGCGGAATCGTATAGTACTTGTCCTTTTTGTCTGATTTCTTTCACTTACCATGTTTTCAAGGTATATCCATGTTGTAGCATGCATCAATTTCATTCCTTTTTGAATGAATATGAGTAATACATATCTCACAAAAAAATGTATACACACTTTAAGAAAGAAACTATTAAAATTGTAATATATATCGATAAAAGATGAATATAAGTCATGTGTATACATGTTTTTGGCACCCCTGGGTGTGTGTGTGTGTGTGTGTGTGTCCGTCCCACATTCTATTCTGTTCATCTGTTGGTTGATGGATATTTTGGGTTGTTTGCACATTGTAGCTATTGTGAATAATGCTACTATGAACATTGGTTTACAAATATCTGTTTAAGTCTCTCTTTAATTCTTTTAGTTATACACCCAGAAGTGGAATTGCTGAATCATGGTAATTCTGTATTTAACTTTTTGAGGAATCACCAAACTTCGTCACAGCAGCGGCTTCATTTTGTATTCCCATCAGAAATGCACAAGGTTTCCAATTTTTTCATATCTTCACCAAAACTTATTTTCCATTTTATTGAAAAGAGCCATCCTAATGGCTGTGAAGTGTTATTTCATTGTGGTTGGATTTGCATTTCCTTCGTGACTAATGGCATTGAACATCTTTTCATGTACTTATTGTTCATTTGTGTATCTTCTTCGGAGAACTGTCTATTCAAGTCCTTAGCCCATTTTTTGTTGTTGAGTTGTAGGAGTTCTTTACATATTCTGGATATTAATCCCTTATCAGACATGATTTGCAAATATTTTCTCTCATTCTGTGGGCATCTTTTCACCCTTAATAGTTTCCTTTGATGCACAAAAGTTTTAAATTTTGAGGAAGTCCAGTTTATTTTTTCTTCTGTTATCTGTGCTTTTGGTGTCAAATCCAAGAAATCATTGCCAAATCCAATGCCATGAAGCTTTCCCCCATTTTTTCTTTTAAGAGTTTTATATTGTTAGCTTTTACATTTAGGTGTTTGATCCATTTTGAGTTAATTTTGTATATGGTGTAAGGTAACGTTTCCAGTTCTTTTGCATATAGTTATCCAGCTTTCACCATTTGTTGTTGAAAACTCTCCTTCCCTTGAATATTTTTGACACCTTTGTTGAAAATCGTTGACCATGTACAGGAGGGTTTATTTCCGGGCTGTTTTATTCCACTTGTCTATATATCTGTTTTTATGCCAATACCACACTTCTGATTACGGTAGCTTTGTAGTAAGTTTTGAAATGAGAAAGTGTGAATCTTCTAAATTTTTTACTTTTTTAAAGATCGTTTTGTCTGTTTGGGGTCCCTTGAGGTTCCATATAAATTTTAGTATGGGTTTTTCTATTTTTTTAAAAAAAAACAACATTGGGATTCTCATAAGGATTACACTGAATCTGTGGATCACTTTGGATAGAATTGTTATCTTAACAATATTGTCTTACAATGACAAAGTTGGTCCCGACAGGCCCTCTTCACCCCCCAACGTTGATGTTTCTGGGAGAATGAGAGCTTGCAGCTTCCCAGTTAATCATTTTGCTTACAACTCTCCTATTTAGCCACAGTCTTTTTTTAAACCTGACCTTACAAGTGATATACCATTGCTTCTCTCCTATGCTGTTGTTCATACAGACTCACCCTGGAGCAATATGGGAGAGCACTACACAGGACAATACCAGGAGGTGGGGATCACTGGGGATCATCTTAGAGGTTCTGGCCACAGAATAGGACCAGAATTTTCCCCCAAATGATCTTGATTGAAACCACAGAGTTTTATACATTAAAGCTAGAACTTTCATTTGGAAAGCTTTAAGGGAAAGTGTTTAGCTCCAATAACAGTGGTTACTTTTTGCCTTGGCCTGACACACACTCTGCTAGACACGATTTACCAGAATGAGCCAGGTACAGCTTCTGCATTTGAAGACCTCCCAGACACCTGTAACAGGTCATTTTAAAGCAGTGTGGCAAAGCTCTTTGTGGAGGGCTAGGGGAACATGAGACGCATAAATAGCTCAACCTGGAGGGTGAGAAGCAGTCCTGTTCCGAATGACACATGCACAGAGCTTGGAGAGATTTGAGCTGGCGGGAGAGGAGAGCTGTGGCTGTGTTGGAAAGCATTTTAGGCAGAAGGAACTCCAGGAGCATAGGTTGGAGGCCAGTAATGAATGCTGTATTACACTTTCTGAGAACTAACCTTCTGAAAACAATTCACAAGATTAAATTATAAATGAAACAGTATAATATGGATAATTTATGTTTTGATAAAAGCATGCAGAAAGCACTATGGGAACCCATCAGGACTTCATAAAAAGACACGGGAAGTCCTGTCATATGAGGTTCTTGGGATAATTTTGGGCGACTAGAAAGTAGCTGGGCGGAGAAGGTTTCCTGCAGGATGAAGGGCAGGTGTAAAGCATAGGGAATGAGAAAGTGTGGCGTTCTCTGAGGAACTACCAAGAAGTTCATTATGACTAGTGAGGATGTTGTTTGGGGTAGAGGCTGCAGAATAGAGGGGAGGGGTTCTGTGAGAATTGTGCAATAAAAGACCCTGTGATCTTGTATCCTAAAGGGTTTGAACTATGTTCTGAAGGTGAAGATGATGTTCTGCCAATGAGATGGTGACAATCATCAGGATGGTCACACATGCATAGGGACATGAGTACTCTTTATAGACCCTTATAATAATGAATACTTTATCAAAAATATTTTAAATTAAAAAAATTAAGAAAAAATTCCCATTATAA